CACCCCCGACCACCAAGCTTTCTTAACCTTCCTGTTTTCACCTCAAATCAGTGATATGCAGGGCTAAGGAAAACGGAAATGACTGACAATGTTTACGACAATAGGGCCATTAAGTTGTTGGGGGTGTTTTGTTTTGTTGTTGTTGTTGTTGTTGTTTAAGGGAGTTGCTTGGGGATAACGTGAAAATACTTGAAAACCCAGAAATGTCAAAGTGCAAGCATTCCCTCACTGTGACTCTCAGGCGAAATGTAATAGGAAACATTTAGTTTGCTCAGGCAACCGCACCCCCCAAATTGCCTAGAAATGTACTTAAATAGCCTAAATGGTATAAAGTATTTCCAGACTTCCAGTGTGAAAAATAAAGTGGCAGGGAGAGGGGGCTGTTGCCAGTACATTTGCGCTAAGTCATACTTAATACTAAACAACTCTCACTTCAGGTTAAAACGGAGTCAAACAAAACAAAACCATAACCCAGACAGACAGACAGACAAAACTTTCTTGCCTGGGGAGCAGAGGGAGAAACTAAGGGAGAAGCCACCTTGCTGGGAGCACAGGTGGAGATGAGCTGCCCCCCAGCCCCTTGTGGCTCAGTGAGCACAAGACTCCATTCTCCGCTCCAGAATTCCAAGGAAAACCTCAAGCCATGCGAGGCATTCACTGGTCAAGCCCCAGAGTCAGCCAGGGCAGAACTAAACGGCCACTATATTTCCTCACCAGTGACAGGATAAAATAATAACGTGCTTCTAGTTTGATCATGCTCCCCCACCACACACGCCCAGAGAAAAATGTCCCGTTTCTGAGCTCACTGGAGAGCAAAATGAATGCGCTCCAAACCAGTATTTATGAAACTTGGAAACAGCTGAGTCTGCTTAGTCGGCTTTTGTTTTTTTCCTTCATTGAGCTGCTCAGAGGTATAATTTTAATTGGCATACATAATTGCTTTTGTGAGTAAAGTCGTTCCCGACTCAAATAAAGGAACTGAGTCATTAGCTTAGAATAAGCATTTGATTGCCCACCTGCACGTTCGTCATCTACCAAGTGGGGGGCAGCCCGGGTTAGTGGGGGCTCGAGGGCTGGGAAGTGACGGGAGCTGGCGTCCGTCATTCAGGCAACCCTCTGGCCTCCACAGGGGCTATTGGTTAATGGAGTGGATGAAGGTGGGGGTGGGGGTGTCACGGGGGTCGGCCTCCACATTCAGCTGGGAAGTCTGCTCCAGATTCCCTCTATCTCCCTTTGCCCGTGCCACCCCCCTCCCAGCCCCTGGTTCATTTGCTCATTCTCTCTCTCCCAAATAAATAAATCTTTAAAAGCAAAGGGCTTGGGGCGCCTGGGTGGCTCAGTGGGTTAAGCCTCTGCCTTCCACTCAGGTCTTGATCTCGGGGGTCCTGGGATAGAGCCCCGCATCGGGCTCTCTGCTCAGCGGGGAGCCTACTTCCCTCTCTTTCTCCGCCTGCCTCTCTGCCTACTTGTGATCTCTGTCAAATAAATAAATTAAATCTTTTAAAAAGTTAAAAAGAAAATAAAAGCAAAGGGCTTAACAGCAGAGAGCAGGTTCATGTTGGCACAGGATGTGGGAGCAGCTAAACCAGCCCTCCCCCGGGCCCGCAGGACTGCCAGAGACTGCCAGAGACTGCCATATTTAGGAGCAGGATGCAAATTTTTCCTGAGCTCAGAACTATTTCATTTTCCCTTTGTTGAGAAATAAAAAATAAAATGAATTTTTTTAAAGATTTTTTTTTATTATTTATTTATTTGACAGAGAGATCTCAAGTAGGCAGAGAGGCAGGCAGAGAGAGAGGAGGAAGCAGGCTCCCTGCGGAGCAGAGAGCCCGATGTGGGCCTCAATCCCAGGACCCTGGGACCATGGCCTGAGCTGAAGGCAGAGGCTTTAACCCACTGAGCCACCCAGGCGCCCAATAAAATGAATTTAAAAGGCACTCAGCAATGCTGGGAATTCTGTTGTTCTTTGGCAGGGTGTGTTCGTGTGGGTTTATTTTCAGCCAACCATGTCCTCTTTGCCATCCCTAGCTGGGGAAAGTGGGGGGAGGGGGCAGAGCGCACAGGAGGGCAAGAACTGTTTGCAGAACCTGAAAAAATGCGTTATTTTCCTTTATTACCTCCGTGTTGGCGATACCCTTTTCTAGAGCAAGAAACAGCTTCTACTTTATTGCTCCTACAGTCCGTATATTCAACAGATGCCAGCTCTAGGCTGTGTGAAAGGAAGTCCTATTTTGTTTACTTTTTTCTTTTAATTTAAATTCAATTAGCCAACTGATAGTACATCACTAGTTTTCGGGTGTAGTGTTCGCTAAATGATCAGTTGTGAATCACACCCGGTGCTCACCCCAACCTGTGTGCTCCTTAATGCCCATCCCACTGTTACCCCATCCCCCCACCCCCCTCCCCTCCAGCAGCCCTCTCTTTCCTAGAGTTTAGAGTCCTGGAAGTCCTATTTTTAAAAAATTATCTTGGTTTTAGTCTTTTTCGCTTACTGTTCCCATAATTTCTCTGAAGCACTGACGAGTCCTTTCTTGTAAAGCCTGGTCTCAGTCATGGGGCCGGGGAGTGACCCCAAAAGCGCTGGGGTCTTTTTCCCTACTGCTACCCTGATCTCTATGCTCTAGAAGAACTGCTTCAGTTAGCCCCCCAAGTTCATGCTGGGGGCTGCTCCTAACGTCCCTCAGTTTGTCATCTTTACAAAAGAACTCACGGTCTCAAGCCCCTACCAGCTCCCCATACCTCCCAAGTGACTGTCCGGTTCTATTTTCGGCTTTCGGTTCAGGCTGGTTTCTCTGCTTCCCGCCTGCTGGTTACCATGACCCAAGGACACCCATCGCACAATGTTCATCTCTCCAAGCTGGCCCTTGAGACACTGGCGTGTCAGACCAGATTTGAGGCCTCTTGCTGGCAGGGCCCAGGGACTTCCCTGTGCCTTCTGGGGCTTTTAACACCTGCTTTAAGGGCTTAACAGAAAGCGCTTCCATTCCACACACAAACTGCCCCCCTCAACCCCGTCTGCCTCAGTGACTGTTTCCAGAATGTCGTTCTGTGGCAAAGCTCCTTGCCTCTCACGTTGATTTCGGGGGGGGGGGGCGGAGTCTGTTCCCTCTGAACACGGTCATTCATCCTTGAAGGCAAACATGGTGGTTGTGCTTATCGCCTCTCAACCCCTGAGAAATAGCCACTGTCAGCTGATGCATCCGACGGGTCTTTAATGTGAACGAGGCCAGCTGCAGAGGTCACACCGGGTTGCTGGCAAGGTGCCTGCAGGCTGGGGAGGGGGGCAGGGAGCAAATCTGAAGGGTTCCAGTTCTCACGGAGACATCACTGAGCTCTGCAACTTTTCTCCAATTGAAACTGCTTCCTGTTCAGCTCCCAAATGGTTCTCCACTTCCCAGTGTTCTTGAACTTGGGCCAGGGCTAGTTCTTAGTCCTTACTGTTCTTATTCTATACCGCACCTAGGCAGAAATGCTTCTTTCAACAGAAAATTCCTTCAGCTCCACTAAGAGACTGAGGAGCCAGGAGACCTCACAGACAGAGGTTCATTTCTAAGTCACCTTGTTCAGCTGGAACAGTGGGGCCAGAAAAATGAGACCAGATTGGCTTTTTTACTTTCTATTCTTCTCTGGGCTGTTCACGCGGAGGGCAGCCTGAGAAAAAGCGGACTGAGGAATTTTAAGCCAGCTGCTTATAAATGTTTTTTAAAAGCATTGCTCGGACTATTTATATTACATTTGTATTCATGGGAAGAGAATCTCTGCCCAGACTAAAAAAAACCTCTTTGAAAACCCTCTGAATCCTGTCTGGACAACTGCAAATGGGCACTTCTCCCCTCCCCCCACAACCCAGACTACAAACAGGGCTCTCAGGAGCACAGAGAAAACATAGCAAGGGTTAAATCTTATTTAGAAATCAGCCAAATCCGGGGTGTCTGGGTGGCTCAGTCGGTTAAGCAGCTGCCTTCGGCTCAGGTCATGACCCCAGGGCTCTGGGATCAAGCCCCTCAGCATCTGGTTCCCTGCTGGGCAGGGGGAGCCGGCTTCTCCCTCTCCCACTCTGTCAAGTATTGCACACAGTTTTTAAAGGAAAGTGATCAGGTTTTTTTAAAGATTTTTTTGTTTATTTGACAGAGATCACAAGTAGGCAGAAAGTTGGGGGGCGAGCAGACTCCCCACTGAGCAGAGAGCCCGATGCGGGGGCTCGATCCCAGGACCCTGAGATCAGGACCTGAGCCGAAGGCAAAGGCTTAACCCACTGTGCCACCCAGGCACCCCAAAAGGTGATCAGTTTTATTTCAAAGCATTTCCAGTCCTTCCAAAGGATCCCAGAAATGCCGCCTGCCAAATACATGGGGGCTGCAGGAGGGCTAAGAAGGAGATTTCGTCTGGGCATCTAGGTCACCACAACCCAAGGGACAGGCACTCCTTCACCATCTGAGATGCACTGTGGGGTCAGAGAGAGCCAGGGTTCAGGCAGGAAGCGTTTTTCCACCCACCACACTAGCCAGAATGAAAACATTCGGCAAAATCCATGTTGGTGAAAATCTGGGACACAGACACTCCCAGAAACAGCTGGTGGGAGTGAACACTGGTGCAAGTTTGAAGAACTTTACCTCTCCAAATGCAAACTGTGTACACCCTTTGCTACATAAGGTCACCCTACTGTAGATGTTTTTCTTAGAGATATACTTACATGTGTGCACATGACACTACAGAAAATGTAGCAATGAACTGTTGGGACTGGGAACTAGCTGAATATGTTATAATACACTCCTATGATGTTTAACTAGGCTTTGTTATTTTATTTCTGTAACCTCTATGTAAAAAAAAAAAAAACCTAAGTACGTTTTATTTAATTTATATTTTTTGGAGGGCGGGGAACGGCAGAAGGAAGAGGGAGAGAATCTCAGGCAGAGTCCTCGCTAAGCACGAAGCCCAATGTTGGGCTTGATCTCATGACCCAGAGATCATGACCTGAGCCAAAATCAAGAGTTGGACGCTTAACTGACTGAGCCACCCAGGCACCTCTATTTCTGTAACCTTTAGATCGTACCTCACAAATAAGATTTTGTCACAGCTGGATTTAGTGGAAGCAGAGGAATCAAGTCCACGATTTTCTGCAACACTGGTACAAAAAAGGCCAGGGAATGATGCCTTAGAAAAGATGATTCATAAAAGACCATCAGAAAAGCCCCTAAGCAAAAGCTAAATAATTCATCATTATGTTTAATATGAATAGGTACAGATTTATTACAGTGAGCTGGCATTAAGCTCCTTGCTCAAGCCCATACATCTTTCCAAAAACATTACGGATCGTCTAAAGGATAAATGCATGAACTCAGCAGCACTTTAGACGCTGCTAGCTGCTGGAACATTCCATAGAAAAATGGAAAACAATTGTGTGAGAAGACGATGGCAACAAACAGCAGCCAGTATTCTCAGGCTTTCAAATTACCAAAGAGCATATACAATTTTAGTCTAGAAAAAGTCCACATTTTTTTTTGAAAATTAAAGTTTTAGAATGAAAAGCAACCTCCCCTCCCCTCCCCTCTTTAACAGGCACAGAGATACTGGAAAAAGTTCCTAAAAATCCAGCTACATAGTTTACAGAAAGAAAAACATGCCCTTATTAGTTATTAAATGCAGTCCACCCACAGACTCTTCAAACATGGGTGCTGCTCGGGCCCTCGGCTGCTGGCCAGGAGCTGGGAGGGTGGGCGGAAAGCAGCAAACAAGTTCCCCAGATGTGTTTTCTCCAGCGCCTGATTGACTTCAGGTACCTGTCCAAAATAGAGATTTAGGAACGCCTGGGTGGCTCAGTCGGCTAAGCATCTGCCTTCGGCTCAGGTCATGATCCCAGGGTCCTGGGATTCAGCCCTGCGTTGGTCGGGGCGGGGAGCCTGCTTCTCCCACTCCTTTGGCTGCTCCCCCTGCTTGTGCACACAGCGCTCGCGCGCTCTCTCTCTCTCTCTCTCTCTCAGGCAAATAAATAAATAAAATATTTTTAAAAACCGAATAGTGATTGAGAATCTGGAATTTGTGAATTCTCTTCACTGTCTTCTTCAAAGTCACGTTTTGCAAAATCTCACCGTTGCTGTCAGGTTTCTGAACTTGAGCAGAAACCCGTTTCGGCCAGGCACCGCTAACTGCCCACAAATGGTGGGAATGGACGTTGGTGCGGCCACTTAATGGAAAAAGGTGTGGCGGTTCCTCAAAAAAAAAAGAAAAGAAAAGAAAAATAGAGCTGCCCTGTGATCTGGGAATTCCACTGCTGGGTACTTATGCAGAGGAAAGATAAACACTAACTCAGTAAGATATCTGCTCCCCCATGTTCACTGCAGCGTCATTCACAGGAGCCCGGCCTGAGCAGCCACCTAAGCACCCATCAACGTGTGAATGCACAAAGACAACGTGTCTTGTCGCTATACAGTGGCATATCACGCAGCCATAAACCAGAAGGAAACTTGTCACTTGTGAGAGTCTGGATGGACCTTGAGGATAATACATATAAGGCATATTTCAAGGTTGGTAAGAGAACAGATCTTAAAAGTTCTCATCCCAAGGAAAAACATGGTTAACTAGGCTGTGATCCTTTCACAATATACACAAATACAGAATCACCACACCGTGCACCTGAAACTAACATGATGTTCTAAGTCAGTTCTATCTCAATGGAAAACATTTAAGGAATTAAAATTGAAAAGACTTAACTACCCCCCAAAAGGGCAAAATATGTTTGAACTTGCAGAAAACGTTTTCTAGACAAATACCACAAGAAATGTATTTCTTCTAGGAAATACATGTGGTTGCTTCTAGAAAGTAAGACTCGTGGGTGGTATTTCATATCTTTCTATGATAGCATTGTTGAACTCTTTTTCACCATGTGCTTATAGGATTTCGAAAAAACTTGGGGGTGTTAGTCTCAACATAGCACCTGATTTCAATCTGCTGTGTTATCCTTGTCAATTATCCAACCTCTCTGGGCTTGTTTCGCTGTCCACAGATGGGGATGCCACGTACCTCGTAAAGTGCCCCCGAGGACTAACAACACACATGAAGTGAGGAACACCGTGCCCAAGATAGGCATGCAATAAACGTCACCTCCCCTTAGCTCTGAGGAACCCTGGAGATCCTCTTAACCTCCATTCTTACCGGCAAGAACACTAAAGCCAAAAAGGTTTAGGGGCTCACCCCAGGTCAATCAGAAGTAACCAGGAGAGCCAGGCCCTCAAACCTGTGTTCCCGTACCCTAACATAAAAGCTGATTTCATACACACGAAGCAATGACTCTGGAACTACCCCGTGGCCACACCTCACTTTCGTAGGACCAGCCTCCTCCCCTGCCTCCTACACCAGACTGGAGGAGTCTGGATTTTTCCCCAAACACCAAATCCACCAGTAACTGAGGGGGTCCTGCCTGGGAAGACAGCCCCATAGGGGAGCTCCAATTATGTCTCAATCAAAGGCAGCACTAACCCCGCAAGGAGAAAATAAGGATTTGGATGTGGGTGTGTTTTAAGAAAGACTGTTCCATCTTACTGTGCAGGTCAGCTACCCAGATATCCATCCATGTGTACCCCGCCCATACACACACCCCATCCTAATTTCCAGCCCTCTGACTTGAATACAGCTCCTGCCTTGACTTAGATCAGGAGTGAGTTTGTTTTTTTAAAGATTTATTTGAGAGAGGGAGAGCACACGTGCGCAAGAGCGCGTGAGCAGGAGGAGGGGCAGAGGGAGAGGGAGAAGCCGGCTCCCCAGTGAGCAGGGAGCCCCACGCGCAACTCAATTCCAAGACCCTGAGATCATGAGCTGAAGGCAGTTGCTTAACTGACTGAGCCGCCCAGGCGCCCCTGACTTCGAGGTTAAATGGATTTTGTTGAATGAGAAATTCTATGTGGGGACAGTATTTGACGAATGCCTGTTCTGTGTTTAGGCTTTGAGTGATATTTATGCCTAAGCCCTTTGGGGCACAGTATACTGATGAAGATGAAATGACTCTGAAAATGCTTTGGTGGGGATAGGGTAGTAGCTGGTCCTGTCTTTTTCTGTTTGGATGGTTTCCTTAGAAAGCAAGCTTTCTGATCATTGGGTTACTAGTCTACAGTGAACTTAACCTCCTTTCCTGAATGTGTCCAAAGTGTCCATCTATCTTGTCTAGAACAAAGACCAAGGTGTCTTAAATGCCTACCGGAATGAAATCTTGGGGCCTCCCCAGGGCAGAGGTCAAAGGGAGACATGCTGAAAAAGACAGGACAGGTCATCTGTCTGTTTGGATCAGTAGCGGATAGTGGGCACACTGATGGATTACTAGTAAGAAGCTAGAACAACAAAGCATTTGAAGGCATGTGAGAGGGTGATAAATGGAGCTGTGAATAACTGAAGACAGTTTTTCTCTTTTCATATTTACACCCTCCAGCTGCCTGGAGCCTCACAGCTCCAAGTTCCTTTACATAAATTGCTATGCTAGACACTCTGCTGCTCATCCGCAGCCCCCCAGCCCCCCATCTGGATATTGTTCCAGGGGAAACAGCCTGGCCCGGGGTGATGGGCCAGGACCCAGGGTCCAGTCCACAGTTCTTGACTTTAGCTGTCCAGGCACAATCAGCTCAGGAGCTTTTAGACCACCCCAATGCCCGAGCAGGTGAACAAGTGCTAGCCAGTGCGGAATCATAAAAGGACCTCGGCTGGGACGCAGGGTGAGTGTTTTGGGAAGGTTTTATCACCAGATTGAAGGAAAGACACAGGAGGGAAAAACTCCTCCACCCCTTCCTCACTCACTAACCAGCTTCCTTCCTCCCTTCATGTTAACAACCCTGCATAGTTGTGTGTGGAAGTGACGCTTGCTGCTGAGGCCACCATCTTTGACAGCCAGAGAAGACGCTGGTGAGTGAAAGGTAAGAAGGTAGAAAAGACAGGAAAGGGCCCAAGTCCTTGGTTTCGGGTGCTGCGGTCCCCACCCAGCCCCGAGAAATGGTGCCCTGCCTCCCTGCCTCCCTGCCATATCCTGGCCATCTGGTATGGACCGTCCAGAAGTTGCTCAGGTTAATTCACCGGTAGCCCCCTTCACTGCTGGGCTAGGGGCTGTCACCACCTAGACCCCCACGCCTGACCTTTACTACCACCTGCTTGTACTCACTGACCCTTTGTCCCAGGTTTTTCCTTAAGCTCTTCTTCCCAGCTTCTCTTAAGGCAAATGGAAACTAAAATACGCCCTCGAACTAAAGCGACCACCTGGACGTGACCTCCAGCCAGCCCAGACTACTTTGAGCATAACCCCCGAGCCCCACTCACCGATGTGGAGATAGACAACTGAGTGACCTCTAGAATGATCGACAGCTACCTTTACCTCGTTGTGACGCTAAAATCTCCGTCCAAGGAGGACCGCAAGCCTCCTTTACAGAGCAGACGTATCGGCAGGTTGCCTTAAAGCGCATGCGCGGCCTTATGGCGGTTTTGGTGGGGGAGGCCCACAGGTGATCCCAATGTTCATCCTAACCCTAAATAAAAGGAACCCATTCACCGTTCACCCTTGCTCGGGGAATCACGGATTTGCAGGTTATTTGATGCAAAGTTTCCTTTGTGCAACAACTCCACCTGGTGTATCTGTGCAAAGTTTCCTTTGTGCAACAACTCCACCTGGTGTATCTGTGATTCACCAAGGGTCCAGCTCCAGGTTGGCTCAGTTACACGCATGTGGATGATGCCCCGCGGGAGGCCAGCCAGGGGGAGGGTGGCTGTAGAGTCGCCGGCTTTCCTGTGCAGGTGCTGTCGGCAGCTCAGGGGTATTTTATAGGAGTTGTTCAGCAGCTTGAACTTATTCATAATAAAGCTAAGTGTGGGGCGTCTGGGTGGTTTAGTCCTTAAACGGCCGCTTTCGTCTCAGGTCGTGATCCCAGGGTCCTGGGATGGAGCTCCACGTCGGGCTCCCTGCTCCTCGGAAAGCCTGTTTCTCCCTCTCCCACTCACCCTGCTTGTGCTCTCTCTCTCTAGCTTTCTCTCTGTCAAATAAATAAATAAAATCTTCAAAAAAAAAAAAGGCTAAGTGTGTTTCCCACCCCAGCCTAGCCTCTTAGCCTGGCCCAGGTGCCACAGGTGCTGCCAGGGGACTCTAAGGGGGCCAGGTAAGGAGTGACGCTGAGCTTGGGGCTCTAACTCCCATGCGGTTTCCCCTCACGCTCGCCAGGCCAGGTGTGACTTTGGGCCGGTTACCTGACTTAGAGCTCTGAGTCCCAGATTCCTCATCTGTAAAACTGATAAATCAGTCAAAATAATGACACCTGTACAAAGCCTAGCTTGATGCACGGCATGGTGGGGGGGGGCGGGGAGGGGGTCCATCCCCTTCCCCAGAGGAGAGTGGGGCAGATTTTCTGGCAACTTCTCGGTGGATCAGGAAGGTTATCTTTCTAGGAATCAGGAATACACACATTATAACGAATCCACTGGTTGGTGGCGATGTGGTAAGAGCCCAATAATTCTAGCAGAAGTGTGGGAAGAAGGGCTCAGTCACCAAAGTATGGAGGAGCCTAGAGCTTGCTCCCAGATGTCCCTGCAGCCCTACAAAGGAAGCCTCCCTGGCCTTCGGGAGGGGAAGGCAGCACCAACGTCCCCCACCCAGATTCTAACTTCCTGGAGGAAGGATGCAGATTGTACCCTCTACCCTCCTCTCTATTCTCTTTCTTACCTCGGCCCGGCCCGTCTGAGCTCAGTCAATGCTAGTAAAAAATGAAAACAATGATCAACCGTCAGTTCTTAAAGCCATAAAATGCTGCAGAATTAGTTCTGGAGAGGCTTTCCCTAGGTCTGGGAGGGAAGGGGAGGGGCCATTATGTTACTTACATCTGCAAAAACAGGATTAACAGATGAAAGGATGTTTTTGTTAAGATGCGACAAGTCACCCTGTGCCTTACCTTCCTTTGCTCTGGAAATCAGGAAAGAACACAGACTTCCTACCAATTACAGAAACTGACGGAGAAAACCCCTTGATTACTGGGAGAAAAGTCAGTCAGTTTCCGTAAGCACAGGCAACCCTGGGCTACGAAACAACCACCAAATCCATCCTCATTAACATCTTCAACTTCCTCCTCAGAGCTTCATCTCAGGGGAATACTGAATTACACTATAAAATAATGAATGGAAACTTAAGTCACTTCCGCCCACCAGGCCCGGCTTTTTTTCCTCCTCCTCCGGACTACACAGGGCAGAGGCCTGCCCCCTTCCAAGTCACACAGAGTTTGGGGAAACGCGTTCCCATCCCGCCAACTAGACTCCTAAGGTCAGCATGGTGCAGAACAAAACTCTTTCCTCGGCCCAACAATGTACAGGCCAGACACGGACCCAGACACTGAACACATGCCAAGGTCATTTACTCCTCATCTTAGCATCTTTAGAGAAAGAACACAAAAAACTGGGACCTGGGGGTGTGTATTTCTACAGCCAAAGCTGCTACTGGCACTCTAAGATTCCCTCTCTCAGAGGGACAGGGCTGGGTGCAGAAAGCCCAGCCCTCAGGTCTTGTCGGCACTAGAGGAAGCTGACTAGGCAGCTTTGGTGACCTGATGTGAATGGGGTATGGTCAAATATCCTGCCAACGCCAGCCATGGAGGGGGTGGGCAGGGAGATGCTCCACCAGCCAGGGGAAAGCAAAGTCCATTCTTGGCGGCTATACCACAGCATGAGACACACATGTATGCAAAAACTGTTGAGAGTAAGGCCTTGTCTACACCTAACACTTGCTAACTTAGAAGGCAAGGCCCGGAGCTGCGCTTTACCGAGACAGAGGTAGAGAGTAAGTATGAAAGAGAGTTGGGGTAGGGAGGATCAGAGTCGATAACTTTGCACCAAACCCCACTTTGGGTTTACTCCGTGCCTGCAAACACTGCTGCAATGTTTCCCCGAAGGAACATATTGGTGTCAAGATAAAATCAATCAACCTCAAACAGTCCCCGAAATCAGATAGTTTTCATGTCAATTTCCAGTCTCAAGTTCCATTATGACGGTTGCAAACCTTCTTTACTCTCCCCAGGCCTCTTCCCTCCTCCAGCCCTCTTCTCTCGCCCTCTCCTCGCCCCAACCTCAACAGGTGACCAACCTTAACTCCTACTTCATAGCGGGGGCCGAGAGTGCGGAGACCTGGGCTCTGCCTCAGCCAAACGTAACCCCTCTCGTCTCAGGGCCCTCCTCTGAGGGGGCAGGTGGCTAAGCTGAAGACCCCGAAGAGTCTCTTCCAAATTCTACCAGCCGTGCTTTCCCACCCGCTCAGATTTATTCAGGGACGACAGCATTCACTTCCCCCGCCCCACCACCGCCCCTTTCCCCTGCAGGCTGGTCTGAGCTCCCCCAAAGACCCTCCCCTGCCCCTAACCCGCCCGGGGCCACCTTACCCGGATCCGTCCCGCGGGCGCGTGTGAGGGAGCAGCCTATGTGGCGCCGTCGGCCTCGGTGTCAGGCGGCCCCTCCTCGTCCACGGGCGGCTCCAGGTCGCCCTCCTCTCCACTGCGAGGGTAGGCCAGCAGGCGCATGGCTGGAGCGCAGGCCGCCTCCACCTGGCGAACCTGTTCTCGGCTCAGGCGCTCGCGCCAGGCGTGCACGGCCTCGCGGGCGTCCCTCGCGGACAGGTGGAAAGGTCGGTCGGCGCCGTAGGCCGCGCCCCGCGTCATGTTGAGCGCAAAGGCGTCGAGGGCGGCGAGCGCGCGCAGCCCCGAGAAGCGCAGCAGGCGGCGCAGCTGGGTACGGGGTTGCCGCACCAGGTCCTCGTAGCGCAGCCTCAGGTAGCGGCGCCGCAGCCAGGCGGGCGCGCCGCGCGCGAACAGCAGGTCGCGCAGCCAGGCTTCGCAGATCACCTCGAGCGCGCCGGTCAGGAAGAAGTCCGCGCGCGGCGCGGCTGGCAGGGCGCGGGACTGGCCCCCGGGCCGAGCGCCCACGCCGTGCGCCAGTAGCACGCGGTGGAAGCGGTCGCCCCGCTGGCGGGTGCGCAGCACCTGGATGCTCTCGCGCAGCAGCCCCTGCCTGGACTTGAGGCGCGAGTTGTGCACGGCCCGCGGGTCGCGGAAAAGTTGCACCACCTTCAGATTGAGGCCGGGGTCACGCAGCAGAGGCACCAGCACGCCCAGGTCGAGGAGGCGCACGTCCTTGATGACCACCACCGGGTACTTGCGGCACTCGGCCTCCAGGGCGCGCAGAGCCACGGGCGGACAGCTGCGCTCGCAGGCGGCATCCTCGACGAGGCCGACCTCAGCGCGGGCACGCGGGGCGCCGGGGCACAGCGGCGGCGAGCAGATGACCTTGTTGGTCCGCCAGCGAAAGAGGGCGGCCGTGGTGAGATTGGCCGCGCCCGGGGCGCGCGCGGCCGGGTCCCCCGGTGGCGCGTACAGCCGCAGCACCGAGAAGTCGCAGCGGAAGAGCGAGCGCAGCATGTCGCGCAGCGCGCCCTGCAGGCTTTCGGCGTCGCCCGGATACAGCGCCTGCCACAGATGCCACATGGGCTCATACAAGTAGAAAACGTCCGGGTGCTGGTTAAAGAGCTCGCCCAGGAACGACGAGCCGGTGCGCCAGGTGGCATGCACGTAGATGTGCTGCTTCTCGCGCGACACCGCCTCCCCGACGGCGCCGCTGAGGTTGCCCGGGACCCCGGGGGACCGGCCCGCGTCGCCGCCCTCCTCAGCCGGCCGCGCCTCCCCGCCCTGCTCGCGCTCGCCCGCCGCCGCCGCCTCCAAGCTCCAGACTCCCAGGCTGCGCTGCACGCCTGGGCAGTGCCCAGCGCCCTTGTCACCATCGCGGCCGCCGTCCAGCACGGAGGGGATGAGCAGCAGCACCAGCGTGTACAGCACCAACAGCAGCGCGAACTTGCAGTACTCCCGGCGCCGCCGCCGCCGGCCCTTCATGGTTCACCGAGCCCCCCACCCTCCGAGCGGGTGGGGCGCCCGTCCTCTCCCCTTCCTAGGAAATCCCGTCCCTTGCCCGCTCCTCCGGCCTCTTTGGGCCCCTCTGCGCCGGCTGGGGGCTGGGGGGGGGGGGGCGCGGACCGGAGCGACCAACCAACCGGGGCCGCGCATCCAGAAGGGGGAACTTAGGAGGCGGTGGTGCCGGTGGCGGCGCCCCTGCCCTCTCGTGGCTCAGCGGCTGGAAAGCCGCCTATTGGCTGGTCCCGCTGCCGCCCGCCCCGCCTTCAGCCTCGCAGCTTCTCCCCGCCTCTTCACCCGCCCGGGATCGCCCACAGCTCTGCCAGATCTGGGCGGGGTTCCCGCGGGGTGGGGACGATGGCTGGGGCGCACCGAGCCAGACCCCACCTTTCCCCAACCCCTCCGTCGTGAAGTCAAGTCTTCCCGAATTGACTTCAGGCAAGGGAGGGGCTCGTGTGGACGGAATGTACCCAGTGACTGGACACGGACCCCACCCGGAGAACTCCACCGCCTCTCCGGTTTTTATGTCCCCTGCCCGGTCATCTCTGTCGTTGGCCGACTGCCCTCCATACTATTGAGAGCGGGGCTCCTGGCCTCTATCCACATCCAGCGCCCCCATCAGCCCCGGGGTGGGTGTTACTGAGCTCTGGATGGGAGAACTCCGCTAAGACAAAGATAACGCAATCGCACACTGCGCGGTGGACCGGAGGGATGGGAAGAGCTAACGCGTTCACGCAGGGCCATTAGTCGTTAAGACGCAGCTTTTGCGAACTTTTAAGTGTTGTGTTCTTCAGGGTTTTTGCCCGCCGAGGGCTATGCACATTTCTAGACACCGTGAAGATCCCTTCACTCCTTTGTAAAATGCAGATAATTTTTAGCACCTCCGTACCTCTTGTTGTGAGATTTGGAGGGGGGTGTCATTTGTCACCACCGCATAACCTAGCCTGTTCTGACACGTGAGCAGAGAGACATTTATAGAACTAGAGTGGTAGGATGGTGGACTTTCTCAGGACCAATGTTTAAAGAAAAGTACCCATAAGTAGGGATCTGTCCTGGAGGATGGATGAAAAAGTGACAGGAAGTCATAGAGGCAGATGAAACATAAAGTTCCTGAAATACAAAAGAGAATGAAAAAGGATAATTGTTGCTGTTTCAGCAGGATAATGAACAGCCCCTTGGAAGAAGGTGTTGTAAGGTTATCGAAAGCTAGAAAGCAAATCTACTCATCTCCACCAGGGGAAGGTGTTCAAATAGGAAAAGTGAGAACATCACCCCAAAGATCTCTGGTCTTTTTCATCACAGAAACTACCCCACCCCTGAAAGCACTCACTGCAGCCTCCTGCCTTCTGTCCACAATTCCCTGGCCTTTCAGCCATTTGTTCAAATCCTCTCTATTCTCCAACCTTATTGACCACTTCCTCCACTTTGTTCTTAATTTTTCATATTTGGCTAAAGGACCCCAGACCGTTATTTTAATAACAGTTCGGCCAATAACCTAAACTCCCTGACTTTCTGTCTTCTCAGTAGTCATTTGGCAACATCCCCCTGTTAAACCCTGCTTTGGGGTTTCTCCCTGCCTGCAAACACTGTTGCAGGAAGTTTCCCCGCAGGACAGATAAAGTTATCATCATCCACCTCAAATGGCCCCTGAAATCCTATACTTTTCCTGTCAATTCCCGGTCTGGGGTTCCATTATGACAATTTCAAACCCGCTCTGCTCTCCCCAGACCTCTGACAACCCTCTCTGCATCCGCCTCCCTGTTTTCAACAGATGAACTTACCTCCTACTTCATAGACAAAATGAAACTGTTAGGCAATTTCTCACTTTCCACTGTCAGAGCCATATATCCACTTACCTCTGTACCCATCTTCTCCTTTGGGCCGGGATATTATTTTCCGGTATTAAAGCTATGACTTTAAAAACCGTGTTTTTACTTTTCCCTCCTGTCCTCTTTTAAAGCAAGTAGATGGCTCTCTGTGCACCTGAAGGGAGGGGATGTGGCTGAGCAGAATGCAAAAAGTTGCTGGTGTTTCTTTCCAAAAGCCAAAACTCCAGTCGTGGAGGGTGTGGTTGGTTTTTCAAATAACCGCAAAGTTTTCCCCTCCTCTCTCCCCACCCTTTGGTTTGCCTACCCACACTAACTCTGGGACGGCCTTGTGACTTGCATGGGCCAGTGGGACAGCAGTAAACATGACACAAACAGGGGCTTGAAAAATGCTTCCACCACGGGGATTCCCTCCAGCTGCCCTTGGGAACCGGGAAATCACGAGCTGAAGAAGCCTGGGCTAGCCACGTGGCTCCAGGAATAAGCTGTCCTAGCTGAGGCCCCCCCCAGACCACACAGGCTGCCAACTGGCAGGCAGGTGAGAGAGGGTAGCCAGGACCAGTGTTTCTCAAACATTAATGTATACACAAACCACCTGGGGATCTTGTGAAAATGCAGAAACGCATTCATTAGGCCCAGCGTGGGGCCGGAGAACCTACATTTCTAACTAGCTCCTGGACGCTGCTTTTCTGAGGACCACACTTGGAACAGAAAGATGCTACACTCTCCCACCCCAGCCCAGCTGACCCACAGGATTGTGAGCAATAATAGATGTGCACTGTAAGATACTAAGTTGGGGGGTTGTTACGCAGCAAAAGCTAGCTGATGCAAAGAAGGTGTTAGGGCTTAGAAGAAGTGTCCTGGGGAAGCTGGGGGAAAGAGCGGCACTCCACTGGCTCCTCCCCCAGGCTGGGGGTGGCTGAGGAGAAAGTGAAAGCTATGGGCCCCACAGCAGAGGGCACCTGAGCACTTCTTCCTGGCAATGAGTCAGGGAAGAGCAGAATTCAAGAAGTGGCTATATGGTTTATCTGACAGATGGTGCCTTGACAGAGGCACTAACCCAAACGTACCTTGGCTCCAGACACAACTTGGAGGCAGCAGAAGGGTCGCAGAGACGGTGTTGGTGACATCTCAGAGGCAGCTATGTGGACCAAAACCCAATGATCCCAAGACCCCAGATCTATGATACAACCCTAATTGTAGAGAAACCCTAGGAATTACCTAGGCAAATTGCCAGCCCAGCAGAAAGCTCACTCAGAAATAAAGCTGCTGGGGTGCCTGGGTGGCTCTGTTGTTCAGTGTCTGCCTTTGGCTCGGGTCATGATCTCAGGGTCCTGGGATTGAGCCCCCCATTGGGCTCCCTGCTCAGCGGGGAGCTTACTTCTCCCTCTCCCACTCCCCCTGCTTGTAATCCCTCTCTCACTGTCTCTCTCTCTGTCAAATAAATAAATAAAATCTTTAAAAAAGAAAAGAAAAAAAGACACAAAGTTGTTTTCTAAGAGGTCAAGGCTTCCAGTTTGGGAATGAATCAATCACGGGGAGGAAAGGCACAGCACAGGGGATATAGTCAATGGTATTGTAACAGCGTTGTATGGTGACACAGGGTAGCTGCATTTGTGGGGAGCATAGCACACCATAAAAGTTGTCAATCACTACATCATACACCCGAAACTAATGTAACATTGGGTGTCATCTGTACTTCAGTTAAAGAAAAAAAGGTGTTTTCTGTAAAGTGGTTTTTATCACACCTAATTTAGTAGATCTGCTACCCCTTTCCGACTTTCTGGGACAACAGAGTACGCCCCCGGCCCCTGCTATCCATCACCATGACTCCTTCCTGTTAATTCAATCACACACTCTCAACCAGAGTATCCTCACCAATGCGAGAATTAAACATAGTTAAATATCCCTCTCTCTTTTTTTAAAAGACTTTTTAAAATTTATTCATTTGAGAAAGAGAGAGAGAGCACAAGCAGGAGGAGAGGCAGAGGGAGAGGGAGAAGCTCACTCCTCCGCAGAGCTGGGTTCTGAGCCGGGGGCCCCATGCAGGGCTTGATCCCAGGACCCAGAGATCATGACCTGAGCCCAAGGCAGACGCTTAACTGATTGAGCCACCCAAGCGCCCCTAAATGTCCCTCTCTCTTAAAAAAAAAAAAAAAAAATCACAGCCTCCTTTGATACAACTGCTACTGACACATGCAATCAGAAATCAGAAGGTGCCCTCTCCAGGCACAGGAAGTTCAAAAACGGGCTGACCACCTTGAAAGAAAGGACCCCCACCTTCGGGCCACATCCCCAGGCCAAAGTGTACAGCTCAGATGCGGAGCCCAGGAGGGAGCCCTGCAGGGCTCCCTCCTGGGCTCACCTCCTTCTGCCCCGCCCTTCGCCGCGCCCCTGCCCTGCGACCGCGGATCCCTCTGCCGGAACCTCACAGTCCAGCTTCTTGCTGGGGCTGTTTCCACTCGTTCTCTCCCTGCCCTCATCTCCTACTCCAAACTCAGCACGCTCCAGCCTAGACTCCGGCCCCGTATTGCTACATGAACAGCCCCTTCTAAGCTTCTCAATGGCTTCCATGTTATTGAATCCAGAGGACGTTTTCCTGTCTCATCTCACTTGACCTTCCAGTAGAATCCAACGCTTGACAGCTCCCGCCTCCAAATTCTCTTCTTTCAGTTTCTGGGACATCACACTGGGCCCGTTCTCCTCCCATTTTAGAGCTGCACCTTCAGAGCAAAGCGTTTGGGAGACCAAGCTCTGTAAAACCGCGATCTTAGTAGTAGGGTTATTGTAGGGTTATTGGAAGAATTACATTTTATAAGATGTATAGATAGATAGAGCCAACAACAGTGCATGAGACGAAGTAAACTTCAAGTGTGAGTTACTGTCAGTGTTGCTGTCGTGGCAAGCTCGTCCTCCTCCCCCGGGCACTGGATATTAAAATATAAGTATTTCTTCCAGTTCAGCCCTCGGCCCTTTTGCTCCTCGCTCTGTGGTGTCTTCAACAAGCCCAGATTCACATTTCCTGCCCGGACCACTCCTTGGAGTTCCGAACCTCCAAATCCAGTTGCCTACTTGGCATTCCTTCTTGGAGGCCTCAAGGTCATTTCAGTGTTAATGCGTGAATGGGGGGGGACATCATCTCTCCTATTACGCATTCGGAAATGTAGGAAATGGTTTTGGCGCCTCCCTCTTCCTCCGCCCCCTTCCCTCAATCCAACCCAGGTTGGTCAGTTTGGTTTTACCTTATCATGTCCCCTTTATCCATTCATTTATCCTCC